GGTCCGTCGTCGGGAGGATTCGGCTTCTTCTTGGCCATCTTCCCACCATTGAATACAATTCGTCGCGAAACAACGAAAAAATAAAGCTCTTCTTTCATCGTCGGAAGATGAACCCATTTTTAAATTATATTTTATAAATATTTATAATAAATAATAAATATTTTTGAGAGAATATATAGTAATAAAGAGAGATTTGTGAGAGAGAGGTGTGAATTTATAAGAAAAAAATTTGAAGATGGAGAAGATGTGAGAGATTGGGAGGGGGGTTTGAATTTATAAGAATTTTTTTGAAAAGGGGTGCAACGGCTATAAAGCCGTTGGGAGGGGGAGGGGAGTGGAATGACGCCGCGTCATTCCTTTGACGCAGGGGCGATCACGCCCGATCACGCCCGAAGGGGGGCGGTGTTTAACGCCGCCGGAGCGTTAAACGTCCCCTCACGCCGTGGGGCGTTGCTGGTATTACCAGTGCTCTAAACAATAAGATCATTTTAATAGCAAGGAAAAGTCAATTAACTGTAGGGGTAGGTGGGTGCAAATTTTCAAAAAAATGGAACAAGGAGTTAAAGTGCAAAAGCGGACCCACATTAATTCTCTCATATTCTCGTGACCTGCCAATCCTTGCATTTTTCCTTTTTATAATAAGGCCCCTTCCTCCTCCTCCATCACACTCAGTCTTATTTTTCCAGTGTCCCATATACATACATACAATATAATTGTACGTCGTCTTTTTGCCCCATTATAGCCGCTGTAGGCCTGCAGTCGTCACAAGGATGAGGGTGAGGAGGGGTGTGTCGATAGTCGAGAATCAGTTTGGATTCATGCTGGGGCGCTCGACTACAGAAGCTATACACCTTCTCAGGAGATTGGAGGAGCAATATAGGGACAGAAAGAGAGACTTACACCTGGTGTTCATTGACTTGGAAAGAAGTATGATAGAGTACCTCGGGAGGTCCTTTGGAGGTGCCTGGAGTCTAGAGGTGTGCTTGTGGCCTACATCAGGACTATTAAGGACATGTACGAGGGTGCTAAGACTCGGGTTTGGACAGTGGGTGGTGATTTGGAACACTTTCCGGTCGTGATGGGGTTGCACCAAGGATCAGCCCTTAGCCCGTTTTTATTTGCTTTAGTGATGGACGAATTGACGAAACATCTCCCGGAGGAGGTGTCGTGGTGTATGCTCTTTGCGGATGATATTGTGTTGGTTGACGAGACGCGTAGTGGAGTTAATGATAAGCTGGAAGTGTGGAGAACGACTCTTGAGTCGAAAGGCTTTAGGATAAACAGGACTAAGACGAAGTACATGGAGTGCAAGTTTAGTGGCATAACGCAAAAGATAGATGAGGAAGTCAAAATCGAGTCACAAGCTATACCTAAACGAGAAAGTTTCAAGTATCTTGGTTCCATAGTACAAGGGGACGAGGAGATTGACGATGATGTCGCACATCGTATTGGAGTATGATGGATGAAATGGAGGCTGGCCTCTAGGGTGCTTTGCTATAAGAAGGTGCCACCGAGGTTAAAAGGTAAGTTTTATAAAGTGGTGGTTAGACCAGCTCTTTTATATGGGGTAGAATGTTGGCCTGTCAAGAACGTCCACGTCTAGAAGATGAAAGTAGCAGAGATGCGAATGCTCAGATGGATGTGTGGGTATACTAGGAGGGATATGATTAGGAAAGAAGTTATACGGGATAAGGTTGGGGTGGCATCCGTCGCGGATAAGATGAGGGAAGCGAGACTGAGATGGTTCGGACATGTGAAGAGGAGGTGTGAGGATGCACCAGTTAGGAGGTGTGAGAGATTGGCGGTCGCAGGAGTTAGGAGAAGTAGGGGTAGGCCGAAGAAGAACTGGGGAGAGGCGATTAGACAGGACATCACACAACTTCAATTGAAAGAGGACATGACCATAGATATGAAGGTTTGGAGGTCTAGGATTAGGATAGAAGGTTAGTAGGTAGTTGAATTTCGTTGTGCTGCGTGTGTGAGTGTTGACCGCTTAGATTACTAGCTTTATGTGTGTACTACTGTGTTACTTTATTCGTTGGATATCTTCGTTTTTTTTTATTCTTATTTCTCTTACATCTCTGCATTTGACTAAGCTCTTCTTAGCCGAGGGTCTATCGGAAACAGCCTATCTACCCTATAAAGGTGAGGTAAGGTCTGCGTACATCTTACCCTCCCCAGACCCCACTGTGTGGGACTATACTGGGTATGTTGTTGTTGTTGTAACCATAAAAATACATTTCTTATTTTAGCCTAAAGTCAAAATATGAATGATTTTAAGAAACAATGAGAATAGTTCTCTTTTAATTCTTGGAAAGATTTTTGTGGTTTATATTTTTTATTATCTTTTGTATCACTTTTTATCTCACAATTTTAATTTTTTTAAACTTTGTGCCAAAGAAATGTGAACTACTCTATCTATCCTAAAATAATACTCCGTATATGTCTTTACTATTACGAATTCTCAATAATTTTTGTTTATTTGTACAATTTTCATTCATTACTTGATAAAATAAAATATTTTCATCGGTTCTTATTTTCTAGAATTTTTGATGTAATTTTTAAATATGTAAATATTATTTTTTTAAATTTCTATATCAATTTAGAAATAAAATCATTTTAAAAATCGTGAGATTTTACACCAAACCCTTTTTCGATCGAACGACCCGCCGCCGCCTCCTCATATCCTTCATCTTTGACCGATGGCAGCGCCACCGCACATCAAGGAGGGGGGACGACCTCCATGTTCTACAGAGGAGCCGCCGCCACCTTCACATTCGCCACTTCTTCACTTTGTCGCACCTAGGGTTTTGCATCGGTCTTCCCTTCATCGGCGCCCCTCTGCCAATCGAATTGCTGGTTGTACTAAAAATTTGTTACAACCTGCTGTACAAGAGCGGGTCTACTTCTTTGTAGTAGGTGGAAAATTCTCCCAACTTATTTTTTGCAATAAGGTTAAAAATATATATATTTTAATTTTATGTATATATACCCCAACAAAATTAATACTCCCTCCGTCCGCCTAAGATGTTCTCATTTTGACTTTTGGTGGTTTTTAAAAAGAGTTGAAAAAAGATGAAAGTTTACCATAATACCCTTAATGAAAAATGGGTAGAGTGTATTAAATGAGGTGGGTAAGGTGTAATAAATAAAGTAAGTGGGGGTAGTTGTGTTATTTTACTTGTTAAAAAATGAAATGAGAAGATCTATTGTGGACAAAGAAAAAAGGCTATTGGGAAGATCTATGGTGGACAGAGGGAGTATCACCGTACCCCCTCTAATTAGGTCAATTTTAATTTTTTTTTTAATTTTTTTAGTAAAAAGTATATTATAACATATAATTAATTATTTATAAAATAAATTTTTACATTTTCTATTAAAATGTTTTGCATTTAATAAACAATTTGAAATAAAACTCATTAATATTTTTTTTACCTCAAAGGTATGGACCAATATTTTGTGATAGTGTAATGTAGTGTGATGCTTTACACTGACACAAAATGACAGTGTAAATTTTTTTGATTGAAGTAGTAGCATTTTGATTGAATTGTTAAAATGTAAGTACATCCCTTGATATAACTTACAATACACTTTTTGGTGTTTCCCTAACATGACTATTGAAATCTCTATGTATACACTGGTAAGAGGCTAAAATGAATAGTGTTCTAGCCTTTTGTTACTTGGGCCGAGTGTGTTGCGAGTGGGCTGCAAATTTGTGGGCCGAAATTGAGTTTTAAAACTGTCAAAAAAACCGTGTGGATCTAGGCATATAGGTCGGCTTAGACATGATGAAAATCAACCTCGATTTTTGTGAGTCTACTTTAACTTTATGTCTCATTCCAATTTTATTGAATATATTCAAAAAATCTTTAAAGTACTTGGACATTGAATGTGGTAGTTTGAGTTGTCTTCTAGGCCCAAATATATATATATATATATATTACCATATTACAAATACCCCGTATATACATACCATTTCTTAATGGGTGGAACAATGAAAATTTCAGTTTCAAACACAATGGTCTCGCTCTTAGATTGATTAATGTAAGATGAGTTCTTTGGACTGCAACTTCATTTTCTCAATAAGATTTTTTGTTTCAGGTACTTGAACATGCATGAAGACAATATTTTGCATGTGGGGTATTTTGGGCACGGTTATAGCTAATATTTTGTAGAAAATGCATTAATTGCATGGATTTACAAAATATTTTGGAAACCCTACAGTGATGGATCTATTTCAACTTTTCAATATGGCCTCATTGATTAGTGTGTCTTTTCCAGTCCAAAGCCAACCTATCACCCCTGTGCTATAGTACAAAGTTCAATATATAAAGAGATTTAAACAATACATTTTTAAAATTCTTAACAATTGCAATGTAAACTTTGTAAGAAGACTTCTCAATCTAACTTAAGGTTTGAAAGCTCTTCATCTTCTACCCTCATTTACTATTCTTCATTTTTGCTAATAACCCTTCCTTTCCCTTATTTCTACGACGACGTTTACATTATGTTTGGCTCAAGGATTTTGGAAGGAAAAGAAAAGAAAATGGTTTTCTCTCATTTTCCTCACCAAAATAGAAGGAATTTGGTTTTTCCTCCTCCACTTGGTACATTTTGTCTCCTCATTTTCTTTTCCTTCCACTTTTCCTTTCTTTTCCCCTCTAACCAAACAAGAAAAATGATTTTCCACTTCATTTTCTTTTCTTTCCCCTTTCAAATTCCTTGAACCAAACATAGTGTTACTATATTGCAGTTTACACACGGATTAAATTCAACAAACTCAAAGACAAATAAAAAAGAAACATGATGACACAGTAAAAACATTGAATAATTCTGAATACGCCACTGCGGTACCATATAATTTGAGTCTGAAATGCCATACTTCCATTTGGTTGTCCTACGCTACCAAATCTTTTTTCTATAACATCCCCGCCTATGCTCCTTTCAAATTCTACTCCGCCATTGTTGACCCTGTTGTCTAGCTATTTCTACCATCCAAGCTCCAAGTTGCAGCAACCCAAAAATGGATGTCGGAAAGGATGAAATCACGTCAGAGCAGAGAAGACGCGCCGAAGCAAACCGGCTAGCGGCCCTAGCGAAGCGCAAAACCAATCAAGAATCTTGGAAGCTTCTGAAATGTCAAAAACCCTCGTCCGAATCCACTCCATCTAATGCCGTTTTTCACAAACCTGATCCAGTTTCTGCGCCCAACCCGCTTCACAAGCCCGAGTCGTCGTCTCCTCCCCTCGAGAGATTCCGGGCCAGGCTCGAAATTTGCTCTGCGGACTCGTTCTCTGTCACTCCCGTACCTGTACAGGGTCATCCTTACCCTGGTCAAGAAGCCTGCTTCGAAAAGCTTAGAGATATACTCTCATATGTAAGAATCGTTTATTCAATGCTTCCCCTTATGTTTAGTTATTGTGCCTTCCAGATCTTACTTTAAACTGCATAAGGGACGTTGAATTTACATATTGAAGATTTGCCAATAAAATTTCCTTAACGATACAGATGATCCAGGATTCCCTATTCTTCATTATAAGAGATTCATGAGATGATGACATGATCTCTCCATCAATTCTGACCTTCAAATTTTAAAGAAGAGGATATTTTTTCTACAAAACTCTGTACAGTGGACATGCTAAGGTCACACTACAAGATAATTAAATAAATTTATACCCAAACCCATAAATTGGGTGCAAGTAGCACATCTAGCACTACACTCAATATAACTGATGTATGGCTAGTTTTGTTCTTCCTTACGAGATTATAAGAGATTCACGAGATGATGACATGATCCCCGCACCAATTCTGACCTTCAATTTTTAAAGAAGAGGATATTTTTTCTACAAAACTCTGTACAGTGGACATGCTAAATGTGTGTGGACTGGTCACACAACAAGATAGTTAAATAAATCTATACCCGAACCCATAGATTGGGTGCAAGTAGCACATCTAGCACTACACTCAATATAACTGAATAAAAACTGATGTATGGAGGATTTTAAAATATATGCTCCAGGCCCAGTAAAATGGTTCATTTCCTATTCTTAGTAGCTAAGTAGTGCATATTCAATGTCCAAATAGGACCATGACTTTTTTTGCTGTTTAGGGAACATTTTTTGGTTCACTTTGCTGCCTTAGCCCATTATTACTACTGAAATTCAATATAGAGAAAATAGTAATTGTTCTGGTAATAATTTTCTCTTGTTTGAAGTTAAGGAAATTTTGAAGGATTCAGGTCTGCTGGATTTTGTATCAGGTTGTGCCGTCACACTACACTCAAAATACTGGAGGCGGAAGGGGTTGTGTGTATAAGCTTACAGATTATGAAGCAGTTCTAAGGTCCATTAAGGGGTGTAAAGATGTTGAGTGTGAAGAAATACCTTGGGGAACACTTAATGTAGTTGAAAAGCTTTCACATTCCATCATTCCTGGGAGATGGATACCTTGCAGGCCAGAGCATCTTCCAGATGAGAAGGTCAATGAGTTGATTAACAGACTTCCTAAAACATTGCTAGACACCCTTCTACCTTTTCAGCTAGAGGGAATAAGGTTTGGGCTAAGGAGGGGCGGAAGATGTCTCATTGCTGATGAGATGGGGCTTGGAAAAACCCTCCAGGTAGCAAAGAAAACCTATTCCAAATTTTAAAGCTGGAGAAATTTGAATGTCAATATAGTTGTGTATTTAAGTTCAAAGCATTTACACTATATTAGTAATATTTAATCTAATCTTATCAATCATTAATGACTTTTTGTTTAGCTTATCAAAGAGAATTTAAGTTTATTGTAATTCAACTGTTGTAAGATACTAGGGTTTAATGGTTGGAACCACTTGTATATGTACTTGTGTAGTAAAAGGATTCTTGTTGTGGTCTTGTGGAATTACGCTTTATCCTTAAATTCCATAGTCCACTCATACAGAATATCAGAATCATATGGAGGGAGTACATATCATTAATGGACTTTTTGTTTCCATTTTCAGGCTATTGCCATTGCTAGTTGTTTTATGAATGAGGGTCCTACACTCATTGTTTGTCCAGCTATTTTGAGATATTCATGGGCAGAAGAATTGGAGCATTGGATTTCATGTTTGCCTTCTGATATCCATCTTGGTACTATTCAGAGCATTTCTTTAATACTTTTTGTGTTCTTTATGGGCTATGTCCTAGGCTTGGAGCATGCTGAAAGCCGTAATGTTGGTTGCAATTTCAGTGTGTGAAGTGTTCTATGCTTTTGCTAGCTATTACTGAGAAAAATAATTAGTCTAGTTCAGATGAAAAGGCATGACACAATGCTATCCAAGTTCACACATGTGGTTTTGTCTGCTTACCATTATAGACTTTTTTCAAAATGTAGTGTGCAATCAGCCTATCAATTGGTGGAGTACAAGATTGAAATGAACTATATATGTTATAACCTGGCAGACCAAAAGCACTGTCCATCTTTGTGGCCTCAATAGTACTTCAGTGTTGAACCGGCTTGATCCCTGTTGCAGTATGGTGCATGCCTCAATCTTTGTTAGTTCTGTCCAACTGTCCAGCTTTCCTAGTTTCCTCTAAGTTTCTTCTCCCATGAGGCAAAACCTCACTGCACTAGACTTTGGCTCAATAAAAGAGTACTGTGCTTGTGTCTTTGGGGCTGATTCAAGAATGGATAAAGAGGCTAGTGGTGACATGAAGGGGGTAGGGTTGTAGGGGTCACTATAATTATGGTAGAGAGCTCTATCTGATTTAGGACTAACTGCACCATTTTATGCTTTTTAGTGTAGAATGGGAAAACAAGCTTTTATCTCCAATTTCTGTTAGTTTTTAGCCTGGGTCTCAGATGGAGCTTAAAATTTTGGAACTGCCCAAAAGCTGGATATTTAGAAAGTTTAAATGCCAAGAAGGCTCTTTGACATAAAATTTCATATGGAGTTTGTTACTCCAATACGTTGGTTTTTTCATTAACTATCTAATCTTAAATCAATTTATTAGAATATGTTACACATCAGAGGAAAAAAAGTGACATTTATCTGTAATAGAGCTAGCTGTATAACTACAGATATAGCCAAAGTAGCTATGCTAGTTGCTCGCACTTGATACATTACAACCTACATTTAAGCTGTTCATAACTTCAACTTCTCAGTTCATAATATTATAGGTATTCATTTAAGATATATAATTGTAGAACATTAGTTATTTTTTACCAAATCTACGTTGCACTACCTGGGTTGCTTTCCTTATCTTTCCAGTCATATGTGGCAGTGGTATCTCTTATGTTACTGATTTTGTCTTTCTGTCTCAGTTTTTGGTCATCAAGACAACCCTTCTCATTTAAGCAGAATCCCAAGATTTGTAGTCATCTCATACACAATGCTAAAGCGCTTGAAAAGGAGCATTCTAGATCATGAATGGGCTATCATAATCATTGATGAATCACATCATCTTCGTTGTTCAAAGAAAAAATCTGAACCAGAAGAGGTTAGACCACATTTCATTTACTAATCGGCTAGTAGGAATTTTTAAAGAAAGCATAATAATTTATTTACTTTTTCTTCTGAAATCTTTTGAATGGCTGTCATCTATAATAGAATTCAAGTCATTGAACTAAAATGTTTTTTGAAGTTGTGTGGGTTGAGAAGATTTGTACTTTAGGTGTTATGATCTATATAGCTTATGACATAGTTGTTGTATTACATATCTATGTCATATTCCTTTTATGACTAGTTTGTGTATTTAATTCTATGCTTGTATTCATTTTTGTGTGAGTGTGAAGAATATAGAAACGAGATTACATCTGTTACTCATAATCTATTTCTTCTTATCTATCTATCCTGAAATTATTCAACACTGAGAGTATACTACATGGTATTAGAGCCTATTCGGTCAAAAATTCTTTAGGCATGTACATATATTTTGCAGTGGAAAAGTGATTGCCGGTGTGAACATTTGGGGTATTCTACTTCCCAACTCTCATCCGTTGGTCTATTTCAAATTCTGGATCAACCATGTAGCTCTAGTGCTCTATCTCTCGTCGCAACCTACCCCCAAGAATCCCACTACGGACGCTTTTGGAACACGTCACATACAACCCACGTTCGCCATACATTTCCCGGCCGATATTTTTCTCACTGATGATCTAATTTCGACACTGCCACCGCCATCCAACATATATCGCTCTTGCAATCCTAAGGTGTTTACTCAAAGGACGTGAGATTAGGATACACAAAGTATTGTTGTGTTTTAAAAGAGTAGCAGCAGAACCCTTTTTGAAGTCTAGAATGCCCCACAAACACACATTTAAGAGATTTAGCTTCTAATTTGTCATGATTTAGAGTATTATCTCAGACAAAGGGAGTACACCCCAAAGACTTCTAAAGGAAGTTTGTGCAAGAGTTGGTGAGAAAATGAGAGCATAGTTATCATGGCGCCAAGGCGAGGCACCAGTGCATTGCCATGACGCCTAGACAACTAGGGGACCACCTAGGCAACAATTAGGCGACCTAGGCGGCAACACATAAGAAATCAGGATTGGTATGCATTAGTAACACTAAGTAACACAAATATTAAACATACGTGTTCTATAAACCTTATCAAAATTTCAAATATACATACTTAAAAAAAACAAACACACCATAATATGAGAGAAAAGAAGAATATGAAATACGAAATATGATTAAAACACAATATGCAACTTCTTAGTCAAAGTCAATACTCAGTATGAAAAAAAGTCACTAACTATAAGGCACAAGAGATTTTTAAAAGGCAATGCCTAGGCGCCTAGGCGAGGTATGCGAAATAAGGCAAGGCAATACACAATAGCAAGAGAAGCTGACCGGAGGACGCCTAGGCGACGCCTTGATAACTATGAATGAGAGACTATATGTTATTTGGCTATGTAAGACAGATGAAGGCAGAAGGCATGGGATTGATAGGGTAATCTGCATAGAGGATATCATCTCCACAAAACATGGAGAAATTTAGTTTAGACTCTAGAAACTTACTACTAGTTAATTCAACTATATGTTGCTTCTCTCTTTCAACATTTCCATTTTGTTGCGGAGTAATAGAGCAAGACAATTTGTGTAGGATTCCTTTGGCATCTAGAAAATCAAATAATGGGCCAAACAAAATTTCTTTAACATTATGTTGAAAAGCCTAGCATCAAATTTTGGATGTTGCTACGTTGGAATTGATGACATCAAGGCGAGCGACAATATAAATTAATCGGTGTACTTTGTAAGGAGAGTAACGGTTAGATGGGAAATTGTGTGGAGAGGGGGTTTAATATAATTTGTGCAGAAAGAACCCATACAAATCCTACGCCTGTCATACAAAATGATAGAACCCAAGATAGGCAGGGAGACTTAAGTAATGATAACCTGTTTCAAATTATGAAATCATGTTCTAACTCCAATACTCCATATATCTCTATCATAGAAACTCCAACCTGACCTTTGATCTCACTATGGAACTTCTGGAAAACATTGGGTATTTCAAATCGCTGCTTTAGTAAAAACATCCAAGTACATCGAGAAAAATTATGAATGTAGGTGACAAAATAACTGAAACCCAAAAAAAAAGAACACGACATGGTCCCCAGACACCCATGCATGGCTATAAACTAGTAGGAAAAGGGTATTAATTATATTATTAACTCAATTATTAAAAGACACTCTAGAGTGTTTTCTAAGCTCACATGACTCACAATTTACGGTTGACACATTTGATAGACTTGGAAGTTGGAAGAAATTCACACAATTCATTTAGACTAGGATGACTTAGTAGACTATGAAGTATGAACAAGAAATGGCGACATAGCAGAATGGTCGTTGATGGAAGATAGTGACAAGCAATATAATTCTTGATTCATATCTTGAACGAATTGTCTTTCCTGTACTCCAATCCTGCACCACAATAGAACCAGAAGAAAAGATAACTCAGCAACTGAGAGTGTGAGTCAACTATTGAGTAGAGATCTAATTAAAAGGGCATTTTAGTAAGTACAGAATTCAATATGAAGGTAAACTAGGGAGATGCAAATTATACTAATGCCAGTTGGAACAAGCATTTCGATTTTAGATCCATTGCCAAACACAATAGAAAGAGATGTAGATGAAGTAAGATGAAAGAGTAAATAGGGATTACCTGAAATATGGTAAGAGTCAAGAATATGTGGACACTGAGAGTTAACTTGAGAGATGCACAATTTGATGTATGACTCTCGTCACTCTCTGCACATTGTGTAATTGGAGTGACCGCTGATTTCATGGCATTGTTTTTAAGTTTCTAAGCTCTTCAGATTCCGCTGCATATATGGTGACAAGAGGAGAGGAGGTATCGGGACTAAAAACTGTGAAATTTGAATTTCCAGCTGAGGCCATGCTTTCAAAATCAAGAATGCCATACACCACTAGAATGGTAGAGGGAGGCAATGAAGACTAGAAAAGTTTGCTGGAAATGGTGAAAATCAGGCCCCCATAGGTGGCTTTGATACCATGTTAAATAAGAAATGTTTTATAGGAAAATATGCTTAAACAATCTGTGTAAACAAGGGAGAAACAATGAAATATGTTTACACTAAGATTGGATACCTTTAATCCCAACTATATTGAGGTTAGTTGCAATGAAATTTATACTTTTAGCTAATTGTCTAAAATCAATAAACAATAATAGCTAATGCAAGTATAAAGGCATGCAAGATAGAACATGTGTACATTAAGATACGATACCTTTAATCCCAACTATTTTGAGGTTGGTTGCAATGAAGTTTATATTGGCAACTAATTGTCTAAAATCAATAAACAATAATAGCTAATGCAAGTGCCAATTTTATGTTGGATGCCTTTCTCTTAGCAACCTTCATACGAAGGAATAATGAGATGAGGTTCCAAAACCATAATGATTACATGTTTTTTCCAGTCGCATCACTTGCATGAGAAATTTCATGAGATGGTAATGCTTAGAAATAGTTTCTATAGTCATGCCTCATTACAAAGCTGATACTTTGAAAACAACAAGCACAATATGGAACATGATCACAATCCCATTCTTTCTTAATAGGAATATTAAACTCTAAATCTCCGTAAAATTGAATGAGCAAATCAAAAATATAATTTAATATGCAATCATAGCATCAACATGTCTAGGAAAAGAAAAATTTGGCCAAAGAACGCTAAAAAGGATAGTGGTGCAGTGGTGCCTTTGGTTTTAAAGCAGTATCACAGTCTAGACAAGCATTGCAAGCATGGCATTACCAATTTCTCTTTGGCTTGGATGGTTTGGGGAGTATTCCTCACCTAGAGGTCACGAGTTTGAATTTGGTACCTGGAAGAAGGAAAAATAAAAATTGTAGAGCTTGGTTATGGGAAAAGCAGTAGAAGCTGACTTGAATTATGAAAATGTTGCATTCTCAGAATTGAAAAGGGATTTTAAATGGCTTGAGTTGATAATTTTAAAATGACCGGAATGCTTGTTTATTCAAATAGAAATTGCAACCTATGTGGGTAACTTACAAGCTATTATGTTGATGCATTATTTGAATTTCGATTTTCATTGTTCTTGTGCCATGCTTTTAACTAATTGTTCAGTTTAACAACCCTGTATCCATACATATGCTTTTCCTAGTGTTACACTTATGTTTTCTTAAATTGGCAGATAAAAGCAGTTCTTGATGTTGCAGTGAATATCAAGCGTTTAATTCTATTGTCAGGGACTCCCTCTTTATCAAGGTTGTCAGAAATTTTTGTAGTTCTATTTTAGCTCTGGTTGCATGGAGCTTAAGCCAACTCATTTGTGTCTTATTTTCAATATTTATCTATTTGATTTCCTGCACTCCTTGTTGAACATAGCGTCAATCTTCTACTTTTATGTTTCTTCCAATTCTTATGCTCACGTTTAATATTTTCCTAGGTGCTAATAGGCCATATGACATATTTCATCAGATAAATATGCTATGGTAACTTCTCTTTTTGTCCTAATATTTATGTTTCTTGTTAATAATTCAAATGTTCTTGTCTCATTCTTTTGCCATCGCATTCTTCTTCTAGGCCAGGTTTACTTGGAAAGACTAAATATGACTTTGCAAAGACTTACTGTTCTATCAGACTTGTGCAAGGATGCCGAGGGAAAGCTTTCTATGTAAGTTGGAGTCATGAGTTACCAGTAAATTAAAAATGCTAAAATTTTCATTGCATTTCTTTTCAATTGACATGAAGTGGTTCTCTATGACTAACATAGTAACATGGCATTGTTAGAGAAATTCTGATTTGAAATCTGATGGTTTTTTTATTTGCTTATTTATTAATTTCCTAGCTCTATGTAGCGGTGCAAGCGAGTCAAGCCGAGCTTGAATAATTGTACTAGATCAAATGAGCTTCTAAAATAAGGGCTCGAATTCATGTTGTTATTATATGTGTGTCGGTGTGTGTTTGTGTACATCCATTTATAGGCATATTACTACCCTACAATAAAGTAAGGTCAAAATTGGAAAGTAACACCAAAATTACAAATTTGTTAAATCCCACCTTTTCCGTGAGTGGAAAAGTTTTATGAAACAGAGCGAGTCTTTAATTTAGCTTGAGCTTGCCTTGAGTTTGGATTTGAACACTCGAGTCAATCTTTAGCAAAGCTGTTTGAGCGGCTTTTCACCTCTAGTTACATGTTGATAAAATGATATGGTATTTTCTTTCATGTAGGATTTCTCAAAGGGGACCCGTTTGGAAGAATTACATATGCTACTTAAGCAGACTGTTATGGTGGGCTCTTGCTCTATGATTTTCTAAATTCGTCTTGATGACAATTTTTCTTTCCATACACTTGTCATTCATCAAATGCATTTTTCTATTTTCTTCATTGCATAACTGAACTTTTTTCATTTTGGTCTTATGTCTCAATTGGAATGATCAAAACTTACTTTGTCCAATGATACCATTAAATGCAAAATCATATACTCCAACCTCAGAGTTTGTAACTGGTAAGTTTTTTTTTTGCGCAAATATAAAGAAACAATTTATATGTAATCAGTTTTCCAAATTTACCATCTAAAAGGTGGATAACCTTTATAAAATGCTGGTCAGAATGTCAATCCATAAAAAGGTTAATTGGAAAAGGTTAAGAGTTAATGGAGTTCACGAAAGAAAAGTGAAAATACAACAACAACAACAACAACCCAGCTAAATCCCACAAGAGTAGGGTCAGGGGAGGGTGTGTGTACGCAGACCTTGCCCCTACTCGAAAGTAGAGAGGCTGTTTCCAAAGAGACCCCCGGCTCAACGTAGAAAGTTGCATTGCTTGACTAACTGCTACTTCATTAATTAAAGAAGCGCAAATAGTTTAGATATCCATTTTGATTTATTCCATCACACCCCAAAGCCAAAAACAGGTGAAATTTTGGCTCCATCGGAGATGATGGAAAAAAATAAATAATCTCATGAAAATCCAAAAAGGAGAGGACTTATATATGTGAGAGTTGGAGAGTGTTATTTTGGAAAATAATTGCGTAATTCATTGTAGACATGTTTTTTTTAAAAAAACTTCCAACAATTATAAATGATCAAAGAGATATCCACGATCATTCACTATAACCAGTCCAACCAAGCCATTTTTATTTTAATGCTAGTATACTAGACACTTCCTTTTCCACTTTCTCTCTCAAGAGCTTTCCTGCTTTCCTCCCCTATTCATTTAATAAGTGAAAATTTTATTGATAAGGAAAAGTAGAAAACCAGGGACACTGCAATAACAATAACTGAATTCCATCTCTCAAAGAATGTGTGGTCATTTGCTTTTAGTTACTGTGCTGATACACTGCTCTCTCTTTCTCTCGTTGTGCTTCTCTTTCATTTGTATGTTGCAGATACGACGCTTGAAGGAACATGTACTCGTTCAGCTGCCTCCCAAGCGTCGCCAAATCATAAGACTGGTTTTAAAGAAATCAGATATTGCTTATGCAGTTGCTTTAACTGAAGCGTCAGGAGGCAATGCTCCAACACTTGATGGCAATAGGACAGATGCTGAAAATACTGTCGTGAACGCTCTTGAAGAAGATGAAGGTAATGAATTCCACCTTCCGAGTCCTTTGTGTTAATCTATGGGTTTCTTGTATGTATCTAATGCAAGGTTGACATGGAAAACTAAATGTGTGGCCTAAGCATTCATTATTTGTAACATTAACAACAAATTTAAATAAGTAAACAACAATAACTGAAAAAGAAAGAGGGAAAAAATCTTTACACTGCAGAGAAGCTGAAGAATTTTGCTGTTGCAGTACAGAAGTTAGAGATCTTTGCACTGCCCTTAGTCAAAGTTTTACTATGGTAAAGTGAGCCTTTGGAAAATGGGCCAAAGTTAATTAAAGTCTGGTACATAATACAGCGTTTTAGTCATCTAAACATTCAGGCATAAGCCATAGTTGTCACGGCTTTGTCTAGGCAATGCCTAGGCGTCCTGGCGGTCAGCTCCTTTGCCATGGTGTATCGCCTCGCCTTATTTTGCATACCTCGCCAGGGTGTTCAAGCATCGACTAGGCATTGCCTTGTGAAAATCCTTTATGCCTTTGAGTCAATGACTTTTTTCATACTCATTATTTCCATTGCACTAAGAAGACGCATATTGTTTTTAATCATATATCGTATTTCATATTCTTCTTTTTTCATATTATGGTGTGTTTATATTAAGTATGTGTATTTGAATTTTGAAAGTTTGGTTAGGCTTAGAGAACAGGTATGTTTATATTTATATTAGTGTTACTAATGTATACCAATTACCAATCCTGATTTCATACGTGTTGGTGTGTTGCCGCCTAGTTCGCCTAATTGTTGTCTAGGCATCATGACATTACACTGGTTCCGGGCCTCGCCTCGGCGTCGTGACAACTATGGCGTAAGCAATGAGGTGGTGTATTGCAGCAGTATGTTTAGATTCGATGGAACACTACTAGATTGAGATATACTCCCTTCATCCCAAAAAAGGCTTTTGGTTGGACTTGGCACAAAGTTTAAGGAAAGTGAAAATGTGTGGTTTAAAGTGATGCAGAAGAGAGAAAGATTATGAGCCACTCATAATTTTCCTAAAAAGGAAAGAGGAGGCTTTTTTTAAGGAGTCTTTTTTGGGACAGAGGGATGCCCCAAGGCAGAATTCTCTTTTTGTAAAGCAAGGCAGAATTCTCTTTTGGGGCTTCAGAAGAAGGAAACTGGGAAGATGAATTTGGGACGGAGGGAGTATTTCAAAATATGACAAAATAAGTAATTTTCAGGAAAGTTCTTCCACAGTTCTAGGGTGTGCTAAGAGCTAGCGTGCAAGATCTCATCCAAGGCCTCTGCGGATACATCATAAGAGAAGAACAAGAAATTATGGTGGATAGAAGAACAGCCTGACCTTGCCGTTGGCAGAGAATGGAATTTGCCGGCTTTGCATTTAACAAACATGAGATTATCACTCCAACAGTTAAACAATATTCTATCACTCCAACTAAACCTTATGATTTACGAAGTACCAAGATTCAAATCTTAAAAGGAAAAGGGAGTCCTTAAAGCATTACAACTCATAGCAAGACTTGACGAATTACGAACCTTAAATAATACTGAGTAGTAAGCAAATATATAGGAACATGTGATGCATTTCAGTTGGCTGGGTTCGTGGCTGTGTGGTGGTATACACTATACACATCGCACAAATGGTTCCATAACAACATGGAAATGCTTTTACCAATTGCTCTAGACATTTTGATGGAGAGCTCAAGCGATCAAGTGACTTCCACGTTATTCTAGCTGCGGTGTATTAGAACAATTCTTAATGACCATTCACCATTGTTCTTGAAAGAAACACATATAATGGTATAAATGTGCAGTAAACAAATGTGTTGGAGTTAATATTATTTGAAACTAAGATTGTATTTATAGGAGCAGGTGGCGTGCAAATGTGCAATCATGCAACCTCAATCCAAATGCCATCATGACCAGTAGGCTTCAACTATCTAACTTACTTCAATGTTAAATAAGTCTTTGATTTGGCGTCAAATTAAACTGTAGAAATAAAGCATTCCTAGTGTGAACAACCGAATAGTAGGCACTCAAAAATAGGCAATTGATGCTGTTCCATTTGAAGACATCACCAGGCTTCTCTTCATGACTTTTGGGCCAGTAACTAATCACTATTATTGGACAACATTGTCTTCATTCATTTTATCTTTTTTCTAGCCTAGCTGGATATAATTAAAGATGATGGTTTATCATTGTGCTTGCTGCTTCCATTGCCAATGGAGCTAATAGAGTCATTCACATGATGATTTAGATTCTTGCAAATCACAATACAACAATAACAAACCGAGTATGATGCCAACTCAGTTGGGGTTTGGGGGGGGTCAAGAGTACACAACCTTACTCATGTGAATGTAACCTTTGTAGAACATAAGAAGCATGAAGTTTAATCTGCCATTCTCATTTAGTTCATTTATGACCTGAAGTTAAAACATTGTAAAAAATGTTTCTTTTAGCTCTATTGGCAATGAACACTATTTAGATAAATGGACTAAATCAAAATGACATGTTATACTTCTCTTGCTTCTAAATTCATATGAAGAATTGGGCGTAAATGTAGTAATGCATCTAGGGTCTAACAAAGAGCTATCTAATGTTTTAAGGGCTGTTTTTATTGCTGTATCATTCTGCTAGCTATGCTAGTCTTCTCTTCAACATGGTGTAATTGTTTGATCCATTCCCTGAACATAAAAATTTAAAGCTGGTTGGATATTTTCCCTTGTGCTTGTGGCTTGGCCTTAAGGATAGAAGGAGGGACCCCAGCTCCTTTCTTGGTCTCTTTATCACTATTCAACGATACACATAAGTAGACAAAAGAAAGGACTTACAAAGTTGTTTGGGAAACTTTCTTCTTTTTTTCCTCGAAAAGAACTCAAGTATATGTTGCACCCGAAGTATCCTAATTTCCACGCCCTTTCAGACAATAGTGGCAATCAAGATTGTTCCGTAAAGCTCTCTGATCAAGCACTTGGCATTGCAAAATTGTCGGGATTCTGTGAATGGCTCTCCATACATCCAGTCATCACAGAAATAGATGGAGATGAAACAGTCAGTGCAAGTTGCAGTTCTCACAAAATGATAATATTTGCTCATCATCATAAGGTTCTTGATGGAGTCCAGGTGAGTCCTTCATTTTTCTCAACAGATTTTTTTTGTATTTGCAAACCCTTTTTTTTTTACCTTACTTGTACTGGACTACTGGGTTGTGTTTGAGCTTAAGAGCAAATTTCTTCATTTACACTGTATCCACTGAAATTTTACAGGAGTTTGTTTCTGAGAAAGGTATAAGCTATGTTCGTATTGATGGGCATACACCTGCTTATGATAGGCAGTCTGCTATTCAATCCTTCCAGAGCTCAAAAGAGGTCTGGATATTTTTACATTCTCTTTTTGTTTTGTAAATCAACTGAAGAATTCAAAAAAGGGATGTCACTGGCCTAGAAATTCGTTTTCTTTCATAAATTATTCCTTTATTTTTATTATTATAGTTAATAAAATGTTGCTTTAAGAACTTTACTTAAGAATGGTCAACCACTTTATAAATTTCAAATTACTGAAAAGGAATAAAGGATGCATCCCTCCATCATGAAGTTGGCATTCCAATTTTAGGTCTCCACCCGTTTAATATTTGTTTAACTTATTACCATCATTGTTAGCTTGTTGATGCCATCTACTTGGGGTTGGTGACATTAAATTTATGGTGGCAATTCATTATTTAAATTTAAATTACACTATTAGTTCATGCAAAAAACATAGTGTCAATGTTTTACACTGGATGCTCCTCCTATCGCAGGCTTCATCTGAAGGAATAATGTGATGAAAATTCCAAAACCAAACCGTCATCATCAACTTATATTATTTCTAGAAATGGAAAATATAATGAGGCAATGATGAATTGAATTATTTACCATTATCAAGTTTCATTAAAAGATTGATATTGGAAAATCAACTTACAAATCTTTGAACATGGGTGAACGATTTAACTTATCATCATTGTTATTTTTTTAGTTTAATGTGACGATTTTTTACTAAATAATTGTATTTCAATTTCAAAATTCTATCACCTTAAGTATTAAATACTCCCTCCGTCCCCCATAGATCTTCCCAATAGCCCTTTTTCTTTGTCCACAATAGATCTTCTCATTTCATTTTTTAATAATTAAAATACCACAACTACCCCCACTTACTTTATTTATTACACCTCACCCACCTCATTTAATACACTCCACCCATTTTTCATTAAGGGTATTATGGTAAACTTTCACCTTTTTTCAACTCTCCTTAAAAACCACCAAAAGTCAAAATGAGAACATCTTAGGGGGACGGAGGGAGTAATACTCTCTTTGTCCCATAAAAAGCTTCCACANCAATAGCCCTTTTTCTTTGTCCACAATAGATCTTCTCATTTCATTTTTTAATAATTAAAATACCACAACTACCCCCACTTACTTTATTTATTACACCTCACCCACCTCATTTAATACACTCCACCCATTTTTCATTAAGGGTATTATGGTAAACTTTCACCTTTTTTCAACTCTCCTTAAAAACCACCAAAAGTCAAAATGAGAACATCTTAGGGGGACGGAGGGAGTAATACTCTCTTTGTCCCATAAAAAGCTTCCACATATCCTTTTTTGTTTGTCTCAAAAAAGATTCCTCTTTCCTTTTGAGGAAGGAATTGTGTGGCTCACACATACATTTTCTCTCTCATGTGCTCAAAACTCAATCACACAATTTCACCTTTATTAATAGCTGTATCTGGTGAATTACAAGTTACAACAACCCAGTTGGATCCCACGAAAATGGGGTCTGGTGTATGCGGTGAATTGTGGAAACTTATTTTGTGTCGGAGGGAGTAAGATACTAGTTTGGATTTTGCAGTGGAACGACTTTAAAACTCATGTAGCTTATAGATGAGAAAATATATACATGGATGTCTTCATTTGTTGCAAAGATGCTTTTGATGGTGGCCCATGTAAAGGAAGAATTTAATATTGACTGCATCCTTTGAGATTGCAGGTCTTAATTTATAAACGATTGGTAAATGTATACTGAATCTCTTGTTATCCCAGCTTAAGATTGCAATAATTGGAATACTTGCCGGTGGCTCGGGACTAAACCTGTCGGCTGCTCAAAATGTTGTCTTTCTGGAACTGCCAAAGGAACCTGCACACATGCAACAGGTGCATCTATTATGCTTCTTCAGTGGAACAAGAAACTTCTATAAAAAGAATCCTTTTAATTTTTTCTGGTTTTGTGTTGTTTTTGTTTATTTTTTCTCCCAAGTTCCTCAAACGTCGTATTTTCTTTGCAACTTCACGAACACCCATCCTTGAACTACTGATTTGCACATTTTAATAGATTATTATCATTTCTTATTTATTCATTATATTTTTTTGTGCATTTTCAACCGTGCAATGCACACATCGGGACTAGTAGTCTTTCTAAATATGTTTCTTGCAATCCGTTGAGCTATTGTTGGCAGATGGTTACACACCCTAGTTCTAGTTTTATACCACATTCTGAAACTCCTCCCTTTCAGTATTGCATAATTCTTGACCGTCTTCCTGATATTTAGTTATTTTGAGATTGAAGGCTGAAGATAGAGCTCATAGGCGCGGGCAAAAGAATGCAGTCAACATATACATCTTTTGTGCGAAGGTGCCACTTTTATAGTTCTATGCTTTACCCTAAATTGATAAGATGAACTTTGTTTTGTTAATTGTAATATTGTGAAGATCGTGTCAAGGATCTTCTAGCTCAGCAGCATAAACCTGAAACGTCATACCAGAGAGCACACATGAATCCCAGTTTACATAAGATAGAATAGTGAATTCAGTGGTGTATTATGGCCCCTGTGCGTAAAGCATGGAGTGCTTCCCACTTTGGGGCTATACAATTTTTCTAACTATGAATATATGCTCAATAGTTTCTTACAAATTGTTAAAGAGTATCCCACACCGAAACTTGAAGAGAAAATAGATCGGTGTATAAGCTCTTAAGTTGAACTAAGCAATCGATTGGATTCAATCTTTTAATGTGGTTCTACCCAAGTGTCTTATGGTCCAAGTCCAGTAACCCTTACCCCGTTCTAAATACTATCACAAATAATGAACATTTGAGTAATGAGTTACAAACATCACTCACGGTTGGGATGCAAATTTGCTATGGGGTGCATGAAATGGTGGAATGGGTTTATGATATACTCCCTCCGTCCCCCTAAGATGTTCTCATTTTGACTTTTGGTGGTTTTTAAGGAGAATTGAAAAAAGGTGAAAGTTTACCATAATACCCTTAATGAAAATGGGTGGAGTGTATTAAATGAGGTGGGTGAGGTGTAATAAATAAAGTAAGTGAGGGTAGTTGTGGTATTTTAATTGTTAAAAAGTGAAATGAGAAGATCTATTGTGGACAAAGAAAAAGGGCTATTGGGAAGATCTATGAGGGACGGAGGGAGTAATATTGAATTTTGGTCATCTAACTACATTTTTGCAGGATACTTCAGATGAAGTTCGTTGGCAGAACTTGAATAAAAGTTTGCATCGAGTTTCATCTACAATGAATGGAAAGTATGATGCAATACAGGAGATAGAGGTAGACTCACAATTTAGTTTGCATGGTTTGTCCTTTGACCTTTACAATGCAAGAGCTCTAGGTCCTTTGGCATGTTGGAAACTTAATCTAGTTGTTTGAAACTGATTTGTTATCTAAAAATCTCATTACATTCTTTGTTCTGTTTGAAAATTTTAGAGGTTATCATCATACCATCATGTTTTCATCGCTCTCTTCATCGTCCAACCGCCCACAAAATTATATTGAAAAATACCACCTTATGACAATAATCTGATTCTAAATTGTGAAAGAGTAAACTAAAACCCCACCTTCAAAGCATCTACTGAGAGCTCTTTAGAAATTACAGGAGTTGGATTTACTGTGCAACAACCCACATGTTACCGTTTCCACCATGCACTTACTGTGTTCACATGTGTGTGTGATTGTGTGAGATTTTGTGGTTTATTTTAAACTTATTCTGATCATGCATGAATATAAATAGATTGTGATGATGCTTGTGTACAGACTGAATAGTCTATTACTCTATTCTACAATTTTTCCATTTAGGACTCTTTGTTCTCAAAATTCCTTATAAAGCCAAAAAAATATTATGATGCAAAAGTGGATAGTTAGTCTTTTGGCTTGTGGTCAATCATCAAACTCATGGAGTGATATGAATTTCCCCCCCTTTTGCCTTGTATTTTTTATTTCTTTTTCTGGAGAGGATGTGATTTTCCGTACATAATACATTTGTTTTAATTACTTTTACCTCTAATGCTAAACAGGTTGATGTTGTTTCTGATGTCGGAAGAACTGATAAAATTGAAGAAAGGCTATCTGGTGGAAAAAATGGTCAACAACTTCTTTTACAGTCAATAGAAAATCAGAACGCATCCTATAATGAATCAGAGAAGATGATGAGTAATGGCAACCAAGAACATAATGAAAATTGTACGCATCCATCATTGTCTTGTTCAAAAAACCTTGAGGTAGTTATTCTTGCAAATTTAATATGATATGTGTATTGTTCCTAATTCTCCGCTCTCTGACATTGTTGGATTTGGCCTGCATTTTTTCTGTTCCAAACCTGCGAAGCAAGCTACAACCATTGCCAAAATTGATACATCTTGTAGTTCTGATAGTTCAGATTCAAGTGAATGCAATCGAGAAGAGGAGGTATGATTGTTATATATGTACTCTGTATGCCTGAAAGTATCATGGGAATTCAATTTGGATCATGTTGTTAAATGTTGAACTCATGGTGTCTAAGATCGGTGATTGTGGATCTGTCAAGCAAATTGAATCGAACAATAGTAGCTCAAGTAATCTAAAGTCTCTGCGATTTGAGGTATAATAAGTTGGTTGATGTGTTTTTTACTGCTCACGTTAAACTTTTTAAACCCATGTCTTAAAACTGTGGTGTCTTTTCTGAGGTGTGCCCTTCTTATTTTAGGTTAGCTCTTACACGGGAAGAATCCATTTATATGCTTGCATTCCAGGGATAGATACAAGACCAAGGCCACTTTTTGAGAATTTCCGGCAAGAGGAGCTAAATTTCCCGTCTTTTCCTGTGGACAATGAGGAAAAAAACTACAAATGTATAAAGGATGACCCAGCATATAACCATGTTCTCAAGTCATTCATTGATGAGTGGAACAGCTTGAGGCCAATAAAACAAAGGAAATTAATGGGAAAGCCATTACAATTACCATTATCTACTGAGTTGTGCTGCTTGAATGAGAACATTGACTATGACGATGAGGTATGGGTACTTGTGATTGTCCGGCATACATTGTCCTTTATTTGGTTATATTTAGAACTTTTCATTTCTGAGTTATTTATTGCTTTCCCAACAATTTGACAATAGAATCTTATCAGCTAAATGTTGTTAACTCTAATTGAAATATATAAAGTCCTAAATCTAGTTGAAATACATTTCCGTGCTGACATTAGAATCTCTGCCAGGGACTGTTGAAAGCTCGGAGCAAGAAAAGGACTACACCACTAAATGAGATAAGCCATCCCTTGCCCTCAAATGCCACATGGAAGAGTGTCAGACTTGGTAGCAGCAATAAAAAGGAGAGAATATTTACACAGGGGTGGTCAAACAAGGATGAACCACTTTGTAAACTTTGTCAATCTGTTTGCAAGTTAGTTTACACATTGGTCTACTAAAATAAGTGAACTTTTGAAAATATTGATATAAATCTGTGGTCAACAATTATTGTCCAGGAAAAGCTGTGCTAAGGCACCTGAATACTTTGAGGATCTCTTCTGCTCTTTGGACTGTCACGAAGAATACAGATTAAGAACAAGCCGTAGATACATGCGTGAGGTTACAATTTGATTCTAATTTGAAATCTTAAAATACGTTTCTCTAACCAGAAGCAAGTATGTTGGGGAATGTGGTGTTTCATTTAACATAGGCAAAGCTTTGCTGCGTGCAGAGGCTTTTTGAAATCGAGCATGGTATTTGCACGAATTGTCAATTAAACTGCCATAAACTTGTGAAGCACATAAGGCTTTTATCACATGATAAGCGAGAAGATCATATTAACAAAGTAGCTCCACATATCGCAAAGCGCAAAAAATTGTAAGTTTGTGTAGTTAATTATTTGCTCCACCCATTCCAAATGAATATGAATGACGTCATATCATGACTAGAGTATATGTTATAAATTGTTAATGCAGGAATCCAGTTATGTTTAGCCTTGTTACATACTTACACATGACTAGGTGTATAAATAGATATTAAAATGTTTCATTGATATGATAAGGATTCATTTCTTGCAAATAATTGGTGTGGATTTAAGATGAAAAATTAAAACCTATGCACCATCCAGGCATCCAGCTATGTTTACCGTTGTTGCAATGATCCTTTTCTTATGAGTTTTTCATTTTCATTTTTAGTGCTCTCACGACTCATGGAATGTCTCTGCAGCAAGATACTCCTTTGTTGGCAACACGATGTTTTTCTATTTCATATACTGATGCCAATTTTTGTGAAGTTTAAAAACCACTAGAAAACATTTTCCTATATATGGATTCCTTTTTGGAATGGAAATTTTTCATTGGGGTTTTCTTGCATCATGGATGTTCATGGGAACGAGTGAATGTCAAGAAGTGGTATTGACAGATATACTATTTTTTTTGTTTGTTTTTGGTTTAGAAACTTCATGTGCTGTTAGAACAACGAAAATAGATAAATTGGCCCATAACTATGACAGATTGTTATGAAACTTCTTTCACATTTAGGACCCTCTAAGTTGTCGATCCGAATGATGTGTGTTTTTTTGTTTGCAGACTTGAGAAACTTGTTCATGATCCAAATGAAGGCAATGCTTGGCATGCTGATCATATCACACCTGTATATAAAGGGGGAGGTAGTTTCTTAAACTATCTATTTAACTGCTTGAAAATTGTCATTCCCTTTGATTTCACTTTGGATTCACTAACCTGGCAAAAGAAACAAGTAATTTTGATGTTAAATTTCTTTCACTCTGGTTCTACGTTTCCAGTCTATCAATTTTTTTTAGTGTAACCATTTACTTTTGGGGTTTCTTGGAAACCTCTTAGTCCCTACTTTCTAGTAGGGGTTAAGGTCTGCATACACACCCTCCATAGACCTTACTTTTTGTGGGATACTGGGTTTGTTATTATAGCCATTTACTTTTGAGCATTGAATCTTTTCTTCAATCTTCATCATGTCTTTCTCAATTTATTTGTCGTAGCTGTTAATGTAATCATTCATTTCTTTTTCAAAACTCCTGCAGGTGAATGTTTTTTGGAGAACATGAGGACACTTTGTGTTGCTTGCCATGCAGATGTGACTGCTGCACAACGTAAAGAAAGACAACTAGTGAGGCTGAATGCAAAGAAGCATCTTCAAGTTATCATGAGAAACTTTAAAACAGCTGTTGATCCTAACACGGCTAACAATAAAACAGAGGTATGTTGTTCGTGGTGTGTTTAGTTAGTATAAATAAAAACCCTCACTATTGCCATCACTGAACCGTTTTTCAGAGTTTTACTGTCAGCATCTAAACTTAGGTAGTGTTTAGTTGGACCGGCGGCATGTAGAATAAATTTTTTTATATGGAAAAAAAGAAAATTCCAAATGAATTGCTTAAGTTGCAAAAGATATCAACTCGATTATCATGGCAGAGAAAAATGTGAAGGGATGAAAATTCACTCCATCTTTCCTCAAAATAGAAATCCTATTCCTCCATTGAGGAGAAATTGATATTCCTATGCAATGCTCTTCAGACGAGATTGAAAACAGGAGAATGACAAGTTTGCCTTTGTGGGGAGAGAAGAAAAATAGGAATATACTACTTCCGTCCAATAAAACTTTTCCTCTTTCACTTTTTATCTGCCCCAAAAAATATTTCCATTTTCTATTAAAAAGTCATTTTTACCCTACTAATTTTTACCTTACATATCACATCATATCTATTCACTATTAATCTACTCATGACATCCTACTTTTACTCATTACATCCAAAGGCATTTTTGGAAAGCCAATACCAAAATACACTCAAATCTTTTAGAAGTCAATACAAGGGGTTTTTTGGGACAAAGGGAGTATAACATAGCACCCAGCCATGGAAACGACAACAAAGTTGAGGACCGTATATAATTGATTTCAAAGCTGGGGACTAACAATTGTCTTAAGAGTGGCGTAGCTATGGGGTAGCATTCAAGATTGATTGTGTCATTAAATTTGCAGGACACTAGACAATGCCAAGATAGGGAGAGAATGGAGGAGGATAATCTTCTCATTCACATCCCAGGAAGTTCATACTCAGTGCTTAAAAGCTCCAATACAGCTGGGAGTGGAGAGGAAGCCTCTCCTTCATAGCTTTTATTTCCCTATGTTTTATTCTTTTGGGCGTTCTGGTTCATATGTCCTCCCCCCATTCCCCACCCCACCCACCCCCACTGCTCTCGTTCACCGTGCCTATAATGTTCTCGTTGTGTGCAGGTTTCAGGGATTTTAAACAAATCAGCCCAAAAATTTTGAGTTTATTACTGTATAGACAATTAGTAGTAGTTGTTTGTTGATAGATAGAATTACATATCCGGACTGACCAGTCAGAGTCAATATGTCATACATTTGCCCAACACCTCTGCATAATGCAATGGACATTGAACAATTTCAGCTTTATATTAATGTAATAGCCAGTTGTTTAATAATTTGTACATAATGATGGCAAGTACTCAGGAGTTTAGTTGTTGGGCACTTTGTATAACTTAATGTATGTTTCACGTTTATTCAACAATACTAAGGCCATGTTTCATGGTTAGATCTTAGAAGAAGCTGGAAAGAGTTTGAAGGGGTTGAAAGGAGATGGAAAAAATGAAAGAAGTTGAAAAATATTAGAAAAATTTAACTGTTAAAAAGTTATTCAATTGAATGATCATCTAAATAAATATGTTAAAAAAACTCTAATTTTGGATTTAAGGAATATTCTCATCACTCTTAAATATATTTTGAAACTATCATTTGTCAAAATTTAAAAAATATATAGTTTCACCAAGGTTCAAATGACATTGAACCTTAATGTCATAAGATGACCCGGGGCCGCTCCGGTGCCCCGTTCGTAAAATTGACGGTTCCTACTCCCCCTAACCCCCCGGTAAACCCCCCACCCCGGTCTCGACCCGAAGTCAAAATCAACTTGTGGGGTGCAATTGAAGGGGGTGGGGGGTGTGTTCGGGTCGGGGCCGAGGTGGGGGGTTTACCGGGGGGTTAGGGGGGTAGGAACCGTCAATTTTACGAACGGGGCACCGGAGCGGCCCCGGGTCATCCTATGACATTAAGGTTCAATGTCATTTGAACCTTCCCCCTCCAAATAAATATCACATACAGAGTATTTATTTAAAATAATGCCTCACTCTTATACCAGTTTTTAAGAAATTACAATTTGTATTGGGGTGGGGTGAAAAAGTAGTAAGTACTCCACATGGAGAGAGTAGTTCTTTCATTTTCTTTTAAAGAAAGAAATACGGAGTACTTGGTTCAACACTTTCATCTTCATAAATAAATTCAATCACACCGTATTCTTTAATCATAAAATAAATTAATGAAGTTAATTGTGCATCGAATGAAGTTATTTTTTTTGTTAACAACCAAATAAGGGAAAAAGAAAATCATGAAAATTAATAATTTCAATTTCAATAAAGAACAATGCTATGAATGTTCTACAGAGAGCCAACATGGAATTTGCTAAACCCCTTGACGCTTTACCGCAATTACCCAAAGCGACATAGAAGGAAAAAAGAGTGAAGAAAGTTTAATATGTTCCTTTTGATTTTTGTCTATAATAAATCTGATAGTTTAATTGATAATGGATGGTGAAACAACCCCAATAAATGGAGAGGCCATTTCTTTTAAGGCAATGTGCTTATGCTTTAAATGCAAGAATGTACTGTAGTATATTACATTTCACCTGCACTTTTTTGTTGTTATTCTTCTACTGTGGTACACAATGTTACATTTCTACAGCATTGTCAAAAGACTCAACCACTGCTACAAGTAGATCCCATTTCTGCACAGCCTGCCCTCATTGTAATGCCGAATCTCTACTAGCTCCGTCAAAGCAATGACAAATATAAGTTGAGTAAATTCCATAAATAGTTCCTAATTACATATGGTTTTCCACATTTAGTCTCCAAATTTAAGATATTACATAAATGGTCCTTAATTTTTGAAAACTATTCCACAATCGGTCCTTCCGAGACTATTTGTGGAAAAAAATATTGTCATATATGGGCTAAAGGACTAATAATGGAATACTTTTCAAAACTTGGGGACCATTTATGCAATACCTTAGAGTTGGGGACTGAATATGGAAAATCACATATAATCAGGGATCATTTATGGAATTTACTCATATAAGTTTATTCCCCATATGTATGTTTGAGCACAATGACTGGTTATGGAGCAGAGCATACTGTGTGGTAAGACGTGGAATCAATTTCAACCTCTTCAATCAGCTGCAAAGAACGCCTCTGCTTTGTCTATAACGCTCGGAGCAAATCTTGAATTCAACATCAAAGCAGCAGTGGCACAAGAAGAATTATTACTTCTCTTCATTGAGTATTTCCCACCTTCACAGCCTTTTCCCACTTTTTGGTAGTGTCGGATTTTGGAGGTTCTAGCGCTAGTCAGGGTCCCTCCTTTTTGTGAAAGAATCTGAGCATTCCGGGGAGGACAATTTCCACGGGAGGGAGGAGAAAACCTCTGAGAGAGGTCGGCCGAGGAGGGGTTCTTAAGAATCAACTCATCTGCCCAAGAATTATTACAGACAGAAGGCAAACTATTTCTGCAAGCTTTGAGCAAAGAAAGGATCATATCTGTACTTAGCTCTTGTTGAATGATGCCCTTATTCTGCTCACTACTTCCAAAGCAGGAAGCAACTAGAACACCTGCTAGAACCGGCATCAACTCAGGATCACTGAAGAACACGAAAGGGAGGTCGCATACCTGCAATCCCACAATCCATTGGATTCCATGGTTTTAAAGTTGTTCTGTTTCATGCATCATTAAAAATTGGTTAATTGATTATTAAAAAAATTGGTTGACTGGCTGACCTTGTGCAGTATGGTGGGGCTCTTTCCCCAGCGAAGAACAGATTGATTCTCAGGGTGGAATAATGAAAAGTAGCCAAGTAGCGACAGTGATTCCATCAATAGTAGACCAACCTAAGCCATACACAAAGTTGTAGAAGCATTTATTTTCATGCCATGAGAAGTTTTTCTCATGGTGTTTATTGTTACTATAAATCCCATGATGAGAGAAATTTGGGCTAAAGGAGATGCAATCATTTCTAGAATAAAAGATATTAGTACTCTTTACACATCAGTAGTAATACTATACAGACCATCCAGAACTAGCTGTTGGTCTAATAGAGACTAAGGAGTGGCAAGGTAATCCATCTTGTTCAACCACAGGTAAACCCATCCATAAAAAAATGATAATTATTGGATTACATCTATAGGGCGTTGCTAAATCCATCCCACATTTGACTAATTTCACCCCATTTATGAGAACTGGACAAGTCTATCCATAAGCAAAGTTTGCATGTCCTCTTTCCTTTTTTACACTTTTAGGGGTAAATTTGTACATTTCTAAAAAATGGTGTGGATTTAGCCAAAATAGGGGTGAACAATGTACATACATTGTCATTGGTTGGACAATGTATCCAATGTTTTAATTTCCATTTTGATGTAAGCAACCGGTTGGACATGAGAAAAAGTTGAAAGGCATATCAGCAGTGCTATTTACTTGTAATTCTAATTTGGTCATAAAGCTCAACTTCAAAATACACGATTAGCTCAAAATGTAGAATAACAAATTGTTGTATAACATATGCAAAGTAACTATACAATCAAGCAATAATTCAGATCATTTCCTTGTTGAGTTGACCCAAACCCAATGATTTGGGAATTAGGACCGAGCTTGAATACTATTGGACCTGTGAATTACCTGAACCCGAATTTTATCCAAACCTGAACCCATCATGAAATATTTAACAAGTCTACCCTTAACTATACAATATAACCTCATTAAGATGCTTTTGTTGATGTTAGAACTTCGAACCCAATATATGACATTATGGCCTCAAAGCATAACAGGTATAGAGAATTTTTCTTCAAGAAAATAAAATAAAAAAACTTTTTGCATTACATCACCTGATCTGTTGCTAGCGCCCAGTTGTTAGTGCAATGAGAAAGCAGAAAGCTTGTTAAGTGAAAAAATTCCATTTTCAGGTCTGGTCTGGCCTGTGTATGATCAGAATAGGCAAAAACTAGAAAGGTTTAAAACAATTAACAAATAACAGCCATAATATTTTGTAAAATATTGTCCTGATAAAGGGGAAAAAGGAACTGACTAATCAATTACCAGCATTGTTTGTATAAAAGATATGTCTATCAGAGCCAAATTGTTCAACACCTTTAGCACTCCAGTTGCCACTTCTTCAAAATTAGATGGAAGAACATATGATGCCTAGTAGGTTAAAATGAAAAAGGATATAAACTTCACAACTTCGAATATGGAAAAATGCGGAGATACAACTCTCAAGTAAAAAAATTCCCCCCCTCCCAACCCACACAAACACAGGCTCTTGGAGCAACTATTTACTACAGTATGCAGCAATGCATGGTGAGAATTGAATGAGAGAGTGAAAATCCTGAATATTTCATCAACATTTATGTAGAAGGACAAGAAATTCCAGAACTATGAGTGGGGATCAAAGTCACCTACTGGTTCAGAGAATCTGTTATTAGCTTGTAATAGTACAGCAGTTAGCATGGATGGTAAACACACCAAGCCCGTCTCATGTACTGCAGAGAGAAGAAAAGCTACAGCAGGTTGTTTTGAGCCCAACTCATTTCCACTCTTTGATTCTCCTCCACTATTATTAACAACAGGGTTTTCATCCTTATGAGAAACAGACAAAGAGCCTAAATTAGTGTCTACCACATCACTCTGCATGTCACAGGATGCAATGGCAGATTCTCTCACAGTATCTAAGGGTACACCTTCAAATGGCAACGTAGCATCCTGCCTACAACTGCTGGATAACTGTTCATCTTCTGCAATCTCATCCAGTTTAACCTCTACATTGCTTGCTTTAGGAATAGATTTACAATCAATTAAACACATGTTTCTGAATCTGGATGTTAGAACTGCCAGTAGGTTGATGCTCAGAAGTATTGAGGAAGGGAAAGGGGATCCTTCTACGTGGGGTCGGTCATAAATAGCAAACAGGTCCCGTAAGCGGTGAATAATTTGATATGATATCACTAGCTCTATTAGACCATCCTGCAACCGAAGGTCACACTCGTCTAATCTAGGGTGCCCGATAATTGCAGCTGCAGTCCAGAGGAAACCATCCAAAACATCAGAAATCAACTCCAAATTGTCAGGTGATATTTTACTGGAGTTTGAATTGGTTGTGCCAGATGCATTTGATGATGCTGCAATTTTTATATAGTTTTCAAGAGATGCTGCCAGCATGGGGATGATTGGGGGAAGTAGGTTCTGTGCAAGGAAATAACTCCTGTTTGATGGCGTTGATAGAACCACCCTCAGAAGTCTCAGGAGATACAGTGTGACCTGACATGCTTCAGGTTTTGATATGTGTGTGGCAGGCAGAGCAGAAGCTATAAAATCAAGCAGGCCAGCTTGGCGAGCAGCTTGCAACTCAGCATCCTTTCCTTCTATAAACTACAAATAATGAAAGCACAAGTAATCAGCAACACCTCCATAAAGGGAAGAAACCAACAAAAATGCATTAGATGTTATATTATATGATACCGATTGTCAGTATTTGTTCTTCATTTTATGTTTGTCAAAGTGTGGCTCAAGATGAATCTGATTCTTTTTCAGAAAAAAAAAGTTTTGAAATTGTCAGGTATATGAGAAACTGTTTTTTTTTAGTTTAACATTACTGTGGACTTTGGTCCTATGAAATGGAAAATCAACTTGAGCATTTTGGACAACTTGCTATTCTAAATTGATTCCTGCATTAAAGGACAAAAACATGAAGAATAAGCTGACATTGTGTATTACTCCGTACTCCGTACTTGTTATCATAAAAAAACTATTGTGTAAATAATTACTCCCTCGGTCCCTAAATTAACGTTGTTGTTTGATTTCATGAAGTTTAAACAGATTGTTGAAAAGTAAAAACTAAAGTGTAATTGGAATTTGATTAGAAGAGAAAGAAATGTTGTGAGAGAGTATATCACACCCACGTGCAATGTGTCATTAAATTATATATGAGTTTATTTCAATTTAAAATCAAAATAAAATAATGTGTGTATATACTCCCTCGATCACGAAAAATGGTTCCACATTTTCTTTTTTGTTTGACCCAAAATAAGGTTCCACTTTATTTTTAAAGAAATGATTATATAATTTACATCATTCCTCTCTCCCCTACATTACTTTCACCCACTCAATTTTCCCTTTGTTAATGAGTACTCCCTTCGTCCTAAAATTAACTTTTATCCTTTTCGGGTCGTCCTAAAATTATCTTCCCGTTTCCTTAAATGGAAAACAAATAAGAGTTAAAAGTCATGTTTGCCCTTAGTCTCTCTACCTTTTTCACGCATACCATCATCCAATCATTCTTTCCGTTCCCTTTCCATTTACTCTGTACAATAATTCTTCTCTTCTTAGGCTATGGCAATGGCAATCACCACCAAGATCCTCGCGACCTCTCCCAAACTGATTTTGATGGATCTAGGTCAAGGCCACCACAGCCGTCTGCTGCTCCCTATGTCGAAGCCCACCACAACCGTTGTCTTCCTTCAAGACGCCGCCACTTAATCAGCTCTAGCAGCCACGCTGCTGTCCGAAGTCCTCTACCTCGCCTCTACATGGAGATGGAACTGTTCAACAAATGGAACTCTATTTGCAAAGATCGATATATGGAGGGGGGGGGGTGGAATTTGTAGATTTACCGGTTTCATCATCTATTTTCATTTTCCTTATCGTTTTTGATTTCTTTTTCTTTTCAATATTGATTTATTTCTCCTTTTCATGGGGACGAGATTCAGCATGAATGTTTAGGCTTTAGAGGCAATTTTGGAAAGTTAAAGCATTTTTTTAGAATCCCTTAAAAGTGAACCCGAGTCAAACCGGGAAATTAAATATAGGACGGAGGGAGTAATAACCATGTTCGGTCAAATGTGGAACCTTAATTCAAGACGGGGGGAGTACGTATGAATATGTATATGTATGTGTATAGGGATTGACTCGAGGGAGATGAGTGAGATGACACAAAGTGAGCCAATCAAAAGCAAGGTGGCATTTTTTGAAATATTGTCATTTTTTGAAATAAGTGGCTCACATTGTGTCATCTCACCAAAAAGTCATCTCACTAGAGTCATTCCCATGTGTGTGTGTGTATGAAGAAGCATTCATCCTCCTTTACTTCTTCTCCAGAATTGATTGGTCCAAAAGGCGATTTTCATATGTCAACCGAACAACAACAAACTCAGTGATTTCTCACAAGTGAAGTTTGGGGATGTTGACTGTTTCTGATATCAAATGTCAACCAAACAACCCAAAAATATGAATTTGATCTTGGAGAAGCAAAATTGGCTCTAACAACAACAACAACCCAGTTGAATCCCACTACAGTATTATTCAAAGACCATAAAATTATAATTGTAGAAAGTAAATATCAAGAAAGCAAAAGAAAATTGTGTTTTTAAGTCAATGAAGGTGTTGGAGTTTCCACATCGGAAAATAAAGACGAATACCACTAGGATATAAAGAAAGATGAAGCCCTACCTATCGGCTTAAGCTTTTGGGTTAGAATAGTAGATTCCGACTTGATATGCAAGTGGTTAATTTTACCCGATACTCTAAACGTTGTTCTCGGCCCGCCGGAATTTTAATATGATATCGGAGCAGTTCCAGATCCGGGTTTGATTCTTCTTGGTTGTTGGACGTGTGTTTAGCGAGAAAAAAAAAGCTACCCGTAAGTGGTTTGGGTTGAGCTGGCTATAAGAGAATGAGAAGTCACAGCCCGTTGTGTGGGCTAGCTATAAGAGATTGAGATGCTAGACCCGTTTGTCCAAGTGCAAACTAGGTCACGCTATTTACCACTTGAGGGGGAGTGTTAGAGTTTCCACATCGGAAAATAAAGACAAATACCACGAGCATATAAAGAAGGGTGAAGCCCTACCTATCAGCTTAAGCTTTTGGGTTAGAATAGTGGATCCCGACTTAATATGCAAGTGGTTAATTTTACCCGATACTCTACCCGTTGTTCTCGGCCCGCCGGAATTTTAACAGAAGGAAATAAATAATTTATACTTTTGTCCCATAAAAAGAGCCTTATTTCACAAATGCACAACTTTTTTATTTTATTAAGGTACAACTTTTGAAAATCATTGAGTACAACAATATTGTTCCTTAATTTAACTAAATTTAACTTTTTGGACAAACTTTTTTAAAATAAAGGGTAGCATATTTTTTTCAAATTAACATATTTTCATTTAAAAAAATACTCTTTTTTGTGAAACAAAATTATGTTGAGAAACATGACTTTTTAAGGGACAGGAGTAATAGACAACATAGTATCACTACCTTGATAATTTCAGCCGCAATTAGTCCAAACGGTGTTGCCCCAGCATTTCTTGCTTGGCGAAGCTTCTGAAGTTCCTGAAGCCATTTCCCAATTTTTATCTTTGCAGTAGCCACTGCAGTTCGATATGCAAAACCATTGTTCTCGGCTCCAGCTGATGTCTCAATCAAGTCATACTTCAAAGCCATAAGTCTTTGACGGATCTTTTTTACCCTTCGTTTGAGTGAATGCTGCAATGTTGTACTGCTAGAGGCAAGGATGCTCCCTTCAGAGCCAGAACAGATGTTTCCCAAAAAATCGTCGCTACTGCTGTTGGGTGTACATCTTCCCTGCACTTCCTTGCGGCGCAATAACGGTGACTGATCCCTGAAATCCATTGAGGCACGTTCCTTTATTTGTTCCAAATAAAACTTACGACGTTGTTCACTCTCTCTCAGTTTTTCGGCCAACTTTTGGGCCAAGAGCTCAGCTTCCTCCTGTTGGGCTTTGGCCCGGACCTGCTTTCTCCTTGTCTGTTCCATAGCCCTAGCTTCACGTGCAGCACTTAGTGCTTTGCGTTCCTCTTCCCTTCTCACTTGAGCTTCCTCTTTCTTCCTCTGTATTTCTGAGAGTCTCTGAAGCTTTTCAGCCTCAATGAGCTTCTTGCGTTCCAAAACTGCTTCTTCCCTCGCTGTATCTTCTTTCTGTTTAGTTTTCAACACTTGAAGTTTCTCAGCTCTCCTCAATTCAGAATCATGAAGCTTCTGACGCAAGATGAGTTTTTTGTTCTCTTCATTCAGCGAAGTAATGAAACGGACCTCATTAACTTTGATGCTTTCATCGCCGGCTCTTCTCACAATCCCGGCCAAGTAAGCTTCATGTCTAGATTCGCTACGCTGGTGACGAGCATACATTACCTCGCGTAGTTTTGTACTGCGTACAGTTTGCCATTCGTTGACTCGGTTGAGTTTCTCTGATGTCCGCTGAAGCTTTTGAACTCTCTCGTTCTCAAGCTCGGATCTGATTCTCGTGGCTCTCGCATGTTTTTCTTCTGCTTCCTTTTTCAGATCAAGGGAAGACTTTTTCTTTTTCTCGGGAGACATGAGTTTATCGTGCAAAACACGGGCACGCTCAGCACTTTTTCTGCTCAACCCCGGTGAATGTGAAAACCGTGAAGAAACTCGATAGGGTGATGCAAGAACATCCTCCCAGTTTCTCTTCTCTTTCCAAGCATCCATGGATTTCCATGACATTCCATTCTGTTTTTCTTTCTCCCTTTCAGAATGAGGAATTTGCTTTCTCAAGTGATCAACAGGTTTTGAGTTTTTTTCATTTATATTCTCTTTCTTGTTTTTAGCATTAACAAAACCAGAATCTTTCTGAGCCAGTCTACATGCATGAGGGTTTGACCTGTTTGCATCAATATTTCCTTTCTCTTTATTTGTACTCCGATGAAATAGATCAGATGCACCATTTAGCTTTCCCCCTGCCTTTGCTACTGGCTCTTTCCCATTGCTGTTCATAACATATTCATTTTTCTGAGTTCTCTCAGTACACTTCTTCAAAGTATCACTGGCTTCACAATCAGAGCCCAGTTTTCCAGAATCACTTCCCCAAGCCTTTGCTCTCTCATATTGAATTTTTCTGAAAGCCTCAAGAGAGGAGGCCAATATCTCGGCCCTATGTGGTGAAGTCGTCATTCTGCGGACCTGCAAAGTATCAAATTGAAAATTTAGGCTCCGTTTGGAAGACAAGAAAATGACTTCTGGAAATCATTTTCCTCATTTTCCGGTGTTAGGTAAAAAAGGAAAATGTAGGTCAACAAAAAATGGTCCTCAGGTCAATGGAAATTAAGCCCCCATCAGTGGAAAATGACTTCCGCTATTCTCGTCCGGAAGTCATTTTCTCCTGCTCTTCTCTTGCTCGCTTGGCCTTGGCTGTCTGCTCCTCTTCGCTCCTCCAGATCGCTCTTTGCTCTTGTGGTGTCAGCTATTTGGTCCTGTGGCCTTCGATCCTCTGCTCTTCTCTTTTCGCCATCGACTTCTCCTCTCTTCACCACAAAAGGTTTCTATCCTCCTTTCCTTTTCTTTAATTGGTCAATTTTGACAATAATTTTTAACTAGGTTTCTACTACCGATTTTATTTTGTTGATTTTCAAAAAAAAAAATCTAGAAACAACAACAACCCAGTTGAATCGCACAAGAGTAGGGTCTGGGGAGGGTACGTGTACGCAGACCTTACCCGTACTCGAAAGTAGAGAGGCTGATTCCAAAGAGACCCCCGGCTCAACGTCGAAAGTTGCATTCATTGACTAACTGCTACTTCATTAATTAAAGAAGCGCAGAAAGTTTATAGATCCATTTTGCTTTATTCCATCACACCCCAAAGTCCAAAAATATTGAATTTTTGGCTCCATCGAAGATGATGGAAATTTTAAAAAAATCTATTAAGGAATTGACTTTTGACCTAGGGCTTCTGCTACGGCCTCTTGTCTTTGCTTGTTCAACTCATTTCTGCTAGGGTTGATTTTTTTGCTAATGTTGTAACAATCCATACTACTACGTATTACAAATTGTGTGACTACTCATGCCATGTATAACCTTAACTCATGCTGTCCCATGAATTGGAGTGTAAAACCCAAGTTGGCTATATGAATAAAGAGTGGCATACTGTCAAGTAGCTTTGGGAAAGAAGCAACGCTGTTAGGAAGTTGTTAGCTAGAAAATTATTTAGGAAGCTGTTTGGTTCATTTCCTTTTCGGATGTATAGAAAATTTTCCCTTTCAGCAAATGGTTTTTTTAAAACTGGGGAAAAACATTTTATCTCCGATTACTCCGATCCCATAGAGTAACATATGATGCAAATATAAAGGGGCATTGATTTACCTCCCATGACAGAGCGTGTGGCCTCCGATGATCAGACTTCATGACTAGTGGTGTTCCGTCAATTAAATGAGAAGATGTCCTCTTAATGTTCTCAAATTCATTCACTCTTGAATTGAGCTCTTTGAAATCTGAGGCAGCTTCTTCAAGAACAAGAATAGCCTCTTTCATTTGCTCCAGGTCACACTCTAACTCACAAAGTAAATAAAGCTCGTCGACAGCCCGGTTAAGGTTCTCAAAGAGGAAGCACCAAAGACGTTGCCTAAACCTCTCTTTACTTTCACCACTCTCACCTGCCTCAGCAGCACCTATGTTATGTGTTCGAGGAAATTCATCAATAATAGTATTATGCTCTCCCCTGATATCCTCAGTAGAAATTTCCAAGAACGATTCTCCATGAACAGCTGATTCAGAGTTTTGTGAGGGTTCAACCACTTTTGAATCCTCATGAATAGAAGGCAAGCTTAGACCCTCAGCACAAACAACTGAACTATGTTCTATTATCTTTTCACTAGTAATTTGATTTTTCACATCTTCAGAAAATACTTCATTGATCTTTTTTGACTTTTCCTCCACAGATTCATTTATTTGAGAGATCAAATGAGACACTGGATTTTCATCAACAGGCAACAGAGAATCATTAGCTTTCTCGTTTTTCCTCCCAACCAAATTGTGATTGGAAATTTCACCAAACATTATTTCAGGCACACCATTGTCTCTAGAATGAATCATCAGAGCAGAATCATCCAAATCACCCCACTTGATTTTTGGCAGAACTTCCTGATTATTATTCCTCTGCAAGTGTTCATCACCAACTTCTTTACAAGTGTCATTTTTAACAACTAACGGAGGTTCATATACACTTATATTGACTTGACTAACCACACATTTATCTAGATAATGTGAGGCTGTCTCTTCATTATTTGCAACAGACCAAGAATTGGAAAGACCATTGGAAGCATGTGAAAAAGAATTTCTCTCTGGTTTTAGAGGTAGGCTGGCGCTTTCATTCTTCTCACAATTAACATCTAACAAACCATTACAAGGGGCAAAAGAATCAGAGATCCCAGTCAGTCCCCCAGTCCCACTGTGTGTTGTGCACTTTGAACCACTTCTATGCTTCTGCAAAGGCAGTGATTAATTTAAAGTATGCCATTATAAAGTAAAAAAGAGCATACATTAGGCTCTGAAAATTAAAACATTCACTTTGAATCCAATGTAATATTGATGGCCTTTATTCATAAATAAATCCTGATACACTGTAGCACCAAGAATATCATTTCTTCATTCAGAAAATATCGTTCTATCCTAAAGGGAATATCATACTTTGATTTGTAAATATATATAAAAAATGGATCATAAATTTACTACTGTATACATTATACAGAGTGCATTTGAAGAAGGGTTCTCTTATATAGGTTATGCTTCCATAGAAAAAACATTCTTTTCAATTGAAAGTTTTGACTTTTATACATATCTTTTGCTGGTGCTCATCAAGTTTTAGTTCATTAACAGTGGAAGGAGAAGTCATTGAAGGGTAGAAGGATACACAGAATGGAGGGAATACATAATTACTACTGGTACAAATTAAGATCATATCAATGTCCATGAATTTTTTATTCCCATTGTACCCCAAAAAAGGAGTAGATATAAACACCAGATTGTGCATTGTAATTCGTAAGTACAGGTTTCAACGTTTCCTAGCCAGTTACTTGGATTAAAGATGCCAAATCCCATCTCATAGAAATTTTTATGATCTCCAAAACTTTCAAGACAGATATTCAAATTTTTCTATTGAAATAAACAAAGATTAGTCAACCCATCACAATACCAAGAACTATGTGCCTAAAAGTCACACCTTTTTCACTTTCTTCCAACCGGAGCTTTGATCATCCCCTACTACATTGCCACTCTCCATGAAATTCCAATCAATGCAGCTCTTCCCTCACACCCCCGGACCTGGGTTGACCAGCAAGAATCAGTAATAATAATATATCCCACTGGATATTTGCAGCACCAGTCACAAAAGATCACCCATTTCTCCAAATGAGAGATAAATTTCTGAGAACTGGTAGGTAAAGAACTGCGATAATCATAACATCAAGAAAGAACAAATTTCAGTAGAAGGGAAAAAAATTAAATGGAAACGATGTTCATGGTGACAAAAACATTACGCCATGCGATTCACATTTGAGTGGATCACACAGGGGTCATCGCAGTGTGTTTGGACCCAGAGAAAATGGAAAATCAAATAAATTCTCCAAGCAATTGATTCTTGCAGTTTATTTCTAGGGTTTTGGAGGCGTGTGAAGCTCCATTGTAGTAGTCGGAATTCTGGGTGCGAGAGTTTGAAGATGAAAGTGAAAGTGAGTGTTTAAGGATTAATTGGGAGCTTAGGTAAACAAGAGAAGGTGATCAACGCCACTCAAAAAAGATTACACCTCTCTCCAAAATTAGGAAAAAAAGATATTAATAAAACATTAAAAATATACTTAGTATCAAAATATAAGTTTCATAATTTTATTCTCGAAATAGGAGTTCAAATGTGGAGCTGGCAAATCGGTCGGTCAGGTCGGGTTCGGGTTCAGTCACTTCATGTTCGGGTTATTTCGGGTTCAGGTTAATTCAGGTTCGGGTTGAGAACTGTATGTTCATGACCCAGTGTCATCGGGTTCAGGTCAACCCAAGGGGTTATGACTTTGATTTTTTTAATTTTTAAATTCACATTAACACTTACATTTTCTATTAAATAAATTTAAAATATAAAAAAAAGTACTAAATCTATAAAATTATATTATTTTAAACTCTAAAGCAGTTTTTAGATATATAAATCAATATAAGAAATTTAAAAATGTTTAAGTTTTGGAAAAAAGTAAGATAATTATGCAATCTCATTAAAATTTTGTCTGAAAATAAAAATTTATACACTAAAAACAAGTAAAAAAGTGTATAATTTTGAAAAACTCTTACTTTAGCGGGTCGGTCAGGTCGGGTTTGACCCATTTTTAGCGGGTCATTTCGGGTTCGGTCAACTTCGGGTTCGGTCATCAAAACCTTTGTTCAAAACCCAGTGTTTTCAGGTCGGGTTTCGGGTCAAAAACAGGTCAGGTCACTTTTTGCCAGGTCCATTCAAATGCATTTACATAATCAATCATGAATATATACATTACCAAGAAGTTCTGTGAAATGTACATATATAGTGTCACTGTATAACAGTACGAATTCCTATTTTGGAGATAAAAATATGGAACTTATATTTTGATATTATCTCTATGTTTTATTTCTATTTAAGGTGATTTCTTCCAAAATTATTCATACCATTTCTTAAACTTTCATCCATTATACTGAGTATATTAAAATAAAATAGTTTTTTGTCCTCATGTTCTGTTGAATTTTTTATTTAGTTTTTAATATATAAATTTTATTTTTAAATTTTTTTACAATACTAGAAAAAACTTAAATAAAAATAACTTAAGTCAAATATCATATTAAATTACTTAGATACAAATTTAAATTTTGTGTTAGATACAAATAATTTTATACATTATACTTAAAAATAAATTTTTATATTAGAATGTTTCAGAGTGGACCATCTTACGACTCGTTTGAATCATTTTAATGGACGGATATGGGCATGATGCTTGGCTTGAAGTTTATGAGCGGGATTGACCCACCTAGATATCTTATTCTTAGGCCCAACTCAGATCCGTATTTATGCATATCTACCTCAAGATTGGTGTAATCCTTCTCAACTTTTGCCTACTTTTTAAATTGGAAAATTTTCTTTATTTTTGAGCAATGCTAGGTTCACAAATACAATGGTCACAAAAATCACAAACTTATCATTTATGGTTTAAATTCTCATTTTAAATAAATTTCAAAAAATTTTAGTTTTTTTAATTGAAGTCACAAATAGTAAATTTGTGAAATTTATGACTATTTTGTTTGTGAACCAAATATTTCTCTAATTTTTTATCACAAGCTATGAAATAAGGTTGGCATATTTTCCTACGAGAATCTCATTCTTCTCTTCTAATAGGAGTATTTTGTTCGATTAAAGGTCGGGAACTATCATTCATAAATTCTTGCATTCAATATTTTTAAAGAGCATGTATCATTTTGTCAAGCGACTAGGCAAATTCAGAGATATCCTCTTTGATATCAATTTTTATTACTTGTTATGCCTATTTCCATAAGAAATAATTGTCCTTTGGTGATGATGGATAATAAATCCACTAAATGATCCGATTCAAAAAAGCGGATCGAAAGAACAATAACTCGAGAACTGTAGGTTTTATTAGCTTGATTCAGCTTGAGGATCCCCATTAGGGTCCTCTCTATTTATACATGGTTTCCTGGGTAATTAAGGTAGTTCATAATCAGAGGAGACTAGTCTGTCAATGGCGCAATCCACTTTCTTCGGCTATGTCCCCGCCTTCCGCTGAATCTCGTCTTACGGATTGAATCTTCCAGCTGTCTTCTGTGTTGGATTGGCCCGGGCCTAACTTCTTAGGCCGGCCCAGAGTTAATGCGCCTTGGCTCTAGTGTCCCAGCGGCTTCCGGGTGTGATGTTTGGGCTGCCCGTTGGGTATCGGCCCATCACAAGCCCCCCAACTCCTCATTTCTCAGATGCGTCGCGTTGAGGGATGGGGAGTTTACGAGGTGTCGAGGTCCACGTGGGCGCCCTCTCAACGGATCCGAGTCGTTCCTTGGTTTTCGCGTGACGGTTGGCACGATCTCCACTAAATACAATCTTGACTTGCTGCTTCGCCTTCCACCCCCCTCTAATAAAATCGCCGGTGGACGCCATCTTTTCTCCACCTGCTACACTTGTTTCTTCGCCGCTACCCGACCCGTTTTTTTCTCAATCTTCAGGTTAGTTCTCCCTTCGCCATCATGATTATCTCTGATTCCGACTCGGCCTCCCCATCGTCGTCCAATTCTCGTCAGCGATCATTCGGCCCCTGGCCAAGATCGGGGCCAGTCCAGTTCTCCTCAGCCGTCATCGGCGGCGGCGCCCGGTCGAAAGCTGTGTTAGCTGAGGAAGCAATTTCCCTCCTCGACCCCTACACTGAAGGGCAAGAGGATCGCTGGAGGAGAACATCATGGCGCTGTGCCATTGTCAAGTCAATCACTAAGGGTTCGCCGACGCCACTGACATGGTTGGCCACTCTATTGAAATCCAGCGGACTGCCCTCGTGAAGGGCACATTACTCTAAAAAAAGGGGGGATGAACCTCGTCCTAGGTTCCATTAAACCAGCGAGACAGAAATGTGGAAGGAGGAAGAGCATATTATTCTCCTTTGAGATGGTGGTGGCGGTGGTTATGGAAGAGTATAAACCCCATGGAAATAGTCTTTCCCACCAAATACCCTGCAATAGATCCATAACTTACACAAAATTGGTCATTCCTACAAAAACAAAAACAAACATTTTAAGGTATCAAGACCAAAGACTATCATGCGGTGCTCCGTGCAATCTCGAAGTGGGTTCTAACCCCTCCGTTTTTCTAATATGTTATAGTGTTCACTATAGCATATCGGCAGAAGGGGGCAATGGGGTGGGGGCTGGGTGTTGTTAGGAGGTAGGAACCTTTTAAGAGTCAAACGAAACATTGGGGTCTCAATTCAATTTTATATAAAAAATATGTGTTGAGTGCCCAACAAACATCTAAGAGGCAAGAGCTTTCAAATACTCCCAAAGCTTTCGTATGTAAATATCAATTACGGAGAATTTGTGTTTTTGGTATAGTACTTTCATTTTATTATAATATCAAAGTCTTTTCATTTAAATATATAAATTACCCGTATCGATTGTTAATGTTAATAAACTTAATATAATTCCGTATTAGAATTAGTTATTTCTGGGTTTTTTAAAATTTTATATTTCTAGGTTTTTTTAAAGTTTATAATATGGTTTAAAATGTTAAATAGTTAAGAAAAAGAGTAAATCCCATAAATAGTCCCCAATTATGTGTAGTGTTCTATATTTAGTCCCTAATTATAAGATATTCCATAAACACTCATCAATTTTTGAAAACTATTCCACAAATAGTTATTTTCACCAAATATGAAAAAATATTTTGAGTAAATTCTCAAAATGGTCCTTTCTAGTAAGTTTTTTTCCCAAAGTAATCTTCAATAAGCAAAAATTATTGACATGGTCCTTTATAATTGAGATGTATTACCTAAATAGTCGTTTATCAAAAATGCCTATGAAATAAGAGTTAAATAAAGGGTATTTTGATGCTCTTTATTATATAAACTATGAAATAGTCCACAAAATGATTTGTTTGAATTAAGTGGGAGGCTACAAATAAATAATAATTACCAACTTGGTCCTTTGTAATTTAAATTTATTCCCTAAATAGTCTTTTGCCTAAAATATCTATTAAATGTCGGTCAATTAAAAGGTATTTTGATATTTTCTATCACCTATGCTTAAAGTATATATTCTCGAAGTGCTTCTTTATAATTAAATATTTTTCAAACTTGTACTACCTTCGCTCCGCTATATTCGTCTACTTTTGACTTTTAGAACTGTTCATCTAAGTATTTTGACTCATCAAATTCTCTCAATGTGTAAGCCTAAATATAGTCATGTGTGATCTTGTTTGATTTGTCTTAACAAATAGATTATTAATATATAAATTCTATAATTTTTTAATATACAAATTATAAGATAAAATGGATTAAAGAAGTGTATTGGATGATGTGTAAAAATGAAAGTGGACAAATACTCTAGGACGGAGGGAGTAATTTTTAAGTAAACATTTTTTCGAAATGGAGCCCATGAGCTAACTCGGGGTGGGTTCCTTCTTCTAGTAGTCACCCACTTAATTTTAAAAAATCATTTTGAAAACTTATTCATAGTTTAGATAATAAAGAACATCAAAATAGTCTCTATTTAACTTTCATTTAGGAAACACATCTCAATTATAAAGGACCATGTTAGTAATTTTTTCTTATTGTAGATTACTTTGGGAAAAACCTTATTAGAAAGGACCATTTTGAGAATGTACTCAAAATATTTTGTCATATTTGGTGAAAAGGACTACTTGTGGAATAATTTTCTAAAATTGAAGATTATTTATGGAATATCTTATAATTGGGGACTAAATATGGAAAACAACATATAATTTGGGACCATTTATAGAATTTACTCTGAGAAAAATAAACTTAATAATCGACTAATCAATTATTTTCATTTATATTTTTATGATATTTTTTATATCACATATATTCATATAAATATAGAAAAGTACCTAAGAAAGTCCGATTCATTCGGTTCGATTCGGTTTTTCGAAGTGATAACCAAAACCGAAACCAAACAATAACAGTTCGGTTTGGTTTTTTT